TCACGTTTTGACCGATTAACACCAAAATAGGCGTCGAATTCATTCTGGAACGAGGACCATTCAGCACTCCCAGGAGATTTGAATAACTGATGCAGTGGTCCGGGAGATGGCGAGATGCAGTAATATAGACAAATGCAAAGTTCTAAATGATGTTGGACAGGACAATAACCATGCCACATATAAACTAAATATGTAGATCTTAATTTTACGGATTGCGAAAAAGATTTAGGAGTTCTGGTTAGCAAGTAATCTGATCCAAGACAACAGTGCATACGTGTTTCGCAATAAAGCTAATAGAATTCCTTGGCTTCATATCACGAGACATAAATAATAGGAAGTCCTCTAGTGTTGTTCTTCAACTCTATACTCCTTGGTTAGGGCCACATTTATGATTATGCTGCAGCAGTTTTTGTGGTCACCTTATTACAGAATGGATAAAATTCTCTGGAAAATGTACAAAGGAGGAAGGACAAAGTTGATCCCAGGTATCAAAACCTTTCCCTATGAGGATAGACTAAGGGCCCTGAATCTCACTCCATAAAGACGTTGAATTAGGAGTGGGATTAGATTGAGGTGTATAAATGGAAGACAGGAATAATAAAGGGGATGTAAATAGTGTGCCTGAAAATACTAACCAAGACAGGACTCGCAAAAGACAATGGTTTTAAGTTGGAAAAATTCAATTCAGAGGATATAGGAAAGTACGGTTTTGGTAATAGAGGTTTTGGATGAGTGGAACAACCTCCCAAGTACCCGTTATAAGGCCCAGAACGTGAGTGTGACTTTAAAAATAAGGTTGATAATACATGAAGTGGATGTGGTGGGTGATGAGTTAGACCTGATAGCTATGCTACCAGGTCGTTTGCCTGTGTTTCCTCCCTTAAGTCAAGTGACCTGACCTGACAAAGGTAGGGTTGCATTGGCTTAAGCCGGTAGGATACTTGGACCTGCCTCAGCATGGGCCAGCTAGCCTTCTGCAGTGTTCCTTCGTTCTTATGTTCTTATGTTCTTCATGTTTCTGTATATTTACATATTACAATCACTGGACATGGTTTTAGAAACTGCTGGAGCTTGTTTTTTTGGAACTCCTTAGAAACAAGGCACCATGCACAGAGGGCACCTTACATATCCTCACGACAAAAACCGAGTGTCTTTGCGCTTTGTTGCCATCGTTTTTGTTTGTGCACCAATACAAAATGCATCTCTTCTGAGCAAATTTCTTTTTGAGTTGAAGGAAGCTGTATTAATGAAATGATCCACCTTCTCACCCAAACGCTTGGGTATATCCTGAGGAAATTCGTAGGACGCTATGTTGTATTGTCAGTTTGTTACCTGGTACATTACTTCATTATGAGTTGTCTGACCAACAGGACAAACAAAATTCACCATCGTGTCTGTTACCAGTCTTTTAATTTGGTACATAATTATATGCATTGAGCATCTGAAATTGTCCATGAGATGGAAGACACGTTCATGTACCACTTGTAACCGCTTACGAACACAGTCAACAGACTAAACAATCTGCATGTCCACACTTGTCAACCAATTGCATGTTTTTGTGTATAATCAATCACTGACACATGGTTATTTCCGAATATGTACATTAGTCACTAATCTTTCCTCGATCAATTTCCACTGTCTTGCATTTCATACGGTGAATGGTTGTCAACAATGAGACATCTCGTTTGTCATGCCAACCGTAATGCCATGATGTCACCTGGCAGTAAACACCGCACACTCATCACCACGAACACGCTGCCGTTTGAGCCTGGGCAATATGTTTCCGATTAGAACCACTGTGCCAACACATCTGTCTTGTTACTTCACGACCTCCGCATGAAATCACTGAGTAATGGGCTTTGTACCAGGTTATCGGTATATAATGGTATGGCACCTAAACCAAGATAAGGTGCCATCATGTTTCTCACTACGTCACCTGAGATACCCAATAACATCTTGGTATCCTTCATGTTTTACTACCCCGTGTATACAACAATATCCTACACCAGGCCACTGTCACCATCACAGAGTACAAGACATTTTATACCAAAGCGTTCCTTTTCCGCTTGCCCGTAAAAAAAAAAAATATGCTTGAATTACAGTCTAACCTTTTGAACAAAATCAAAGACACGTCAATACAAGATTTCTGAATGGAAAAAAGTATATCCTTAAACTTTTGTTTGAGATCCATGAAAACATTTCTAATCTTGTATACCGTCACTTTCTGTCTGGCCTGGTTTTGTCAAAGAAGTGCAACATACGTAACAGAAAGATATACCTGTTCACTGGATAATTTCACTGAAGAACCGGGGTAGAATTAGCCGATCTGTGGACAGTATGCTTTTATATTAGGCTTATAGAACGTGAGGGCATAAGCATTATTGTTTGCAAAAAGCAAATACATTTCTGCAACAGTCTGTCTTCTTTCCACCTGGTGAAGTCTTGACTGTGGTGATAAGATCGTATTTGCCTTGGTGTACTGAAATACTTATTACTTTCCCTGGCAATAATTTCCATCATGGCTGGTCAAATAATAATACAAAGAATTCAGTTCATTGCCGTGGTTCCAAGGGGACAGGTAGGTAGAATTCCCTTTGAGATGTCATTGAAATGGTGAGACTTGGGAACAAAATGGGATTTTGCTGCAATGCCCACATACAGATTTCTGGTGATAATTACTGGACATCATAGTCTGTTTGTACGGGTGGTAGTGGTGTGGCGGGCTGGTGCTGACGCTCCGCATTGTCCTTTGAACTGACGAGCCAGCAGCATGGTCCCCGCAGAGGCACGGTGAGTCACGCAGCGGTGCCACTACCACCACCAGCACCACTTATCACCATCCACTGAGCCTGTGGCTCAATCCATGCCAAAGTGTAGCCACATCATCCTCACTATCCACTACCTAAAACCTGGGTGAAGGGCCACGGGATGTCATCCGTATGTACTCCGGGATGTACTCCCGTCCCCTGGGCACAGCACAGTACGACTACCCGAGGCGCATGCTCGGTCGAACAAACCGATTGCTTCACTGGTGAATATGATTCATCACTTATAACAACTAATGACGTCGAGCGCAATAAAATCACAATCTCCACGACATAATCATCGGCATTACTAAATAAAGGCCTTGCCACGCGAAAAATAGTAGTTTTCACTACGTTATTAGGAAACCCGACCCTGGTGAGTCACGAGGCCCACACAAGAAGTAAAAAGGTCAGAGGATCGTCGGGCGTTTTCTGCACTATATCCATATCCTGTTCATTATTTTCCAGTCACTAACTTATCAAAGCCGTAGAATTCGTCTTCATTTCTACTTCCATCAGTGTCAGAACTATCAAGGACAGGAAAGGGAGTCCGCAATTTTCCGGGGAGTAGAGCTGTCGTGCATGACGAGGCATGTGAACAGGGTGACTGGCCGGCGTTCCTAACAATGCTATGCAGGCGCCTAGATTTTTTTGTTTTTGGCTCACACCCACAGGCGCAGACCCATTCTCCTACATGTAGGCCTATGTGGGTATCTTTGTCGCGCTAAATTTGATGGCGCTAGAATTTTGGGAGCATAGATCTAAGGTTTGGGCACTCACCGAATAGCCATAATCTAAGGACGGACCCAGAAAGGTAAAAACAAAAAATAATTTTATTTTTCAAAAGTATTCCTGGAGCGCCACTACAGGTTGAAGCGAAAGAACTACGTTTGGACAGTTTAAGGTTTTTGAAGCTCTCGAATCTGAGAACCACTGAGACTCCCACTCTCAATCTACATTGCTCAGTGAGGGGAATTTTGATATTTAAAATACAGTACTTGAATCCCTGTCCGGATATGTCCATAGCTATTACAAAGTTTTTCACAAGATGGCCGGGACCCCTTTTATTGTAGTTGGTGGTAGCAAAATTTTGTAGGATCAAAAGAGGTGGATGATGAAAACATTTTCCATCCCAGTCTCCAATGACTGACGAGGTGGCCAGCCTATCCTGATGCAGTTGGGAACCTCTATTCCTGGCTGTCCCCACTCAGTGAATGGACAGCCATGAGATATTTATTATAAGTTTAAAAAGTGTTTGGCTAAGAAAATCACCCTACCCTTTCCACCTCAAAATATAAACTTTTGCACATTCACAACACACCTATCTATGACTGTCTATCGAACAATAATGAAGGTGAGCAATGACTGTGACTGTGGCAAGAAACACACTGCCTGCACGCCTGTTGCGCACCTGTTGTGACACATAGTTGCATAATTGAAAAGTAGAGCTAACAAACAATTTTAACCATTATATTCATTATCAGTGACCTAAAATTAGTTGGAAATTGCTACTCTGGCCTTGGAAGCATTTTGATTGTTGACCAGTGAAACCAGTTGAGGCAGTACAAGATGTTAGGGGTGAAGAGACAAAGAAGAGAAACAACACCAGAAGGACAGTTGCCTGACATTAATAGGTAACTCTCCTTCCAAGCAGTAACATCCCCCCTCCTCTTCTCCACCTTCTTCTTCCAATATGCCATTAGCTCTCCTCTGACAGGTAAAGGCAGTCAAATTTTCATTTACTGTACAGTATTTCAGTTAAATTTTCATTTAGTATTCATTTTACAGTTTCCCTGTTGATGTAATAACTTATATACATTGTTTTTATGTAGTAGTTTTAGCACATTATTATTATATTATAATATTGTCATTTATGATGGGTCTAGAGAACAGTTAGTTTCTATTTCTCACATTATTTCTTTACGGGAACATAACCTATGCTTTGGGTATTTCGATGACATTTCCTGAGAGTTCTGTTAGAATCGACATATGGAAACGAGTCAAATTTGAAAACCAAAGTTCCACCGTATAAGAATTTTGTGATATGCATTTACATATTTTCTTGAAGTTATTTCAAGAATGAACTCACACTTGGCTTGTTAAGGAAAATTATTGTCTAGCTCAGATCACAAGCTATGGCTAAAAAAAAAGCAGCAACATAAAACACTAGATGTAGAAACTTGAATCTAATCATACCTGGTATAAAAACTTTTTTTAATTTTACTTTGCTTGTGGGAATTCAGAGCCTCATAGGCACTTTCTACTGCATCTTCTTCTTCAGCAAGGAGAAATGCAAAGAGTAAATCATTAGCATGTCTTGAAGCCATTGTTATTTTTGTTGTTGTTTAAAGAGGCACCACAGCCAAAGCTATACTGAATCTTTCTTCTTCTCATGCAGGAAGTAAATACTGCCCAAGCTGGGGCTGAAAAAGAAAAGGGAAAAAAATCTTATCTGAACAATAGGATTTTCTAAAGCTATAATACAGAAGTAAAACTTTGAGATGTAGTGCATCATATAGTTTCATATGGAAGTATCTTGGGGCCTTTACTATTCTTTCTTGTGTTAAATGTGAGCCCTTACTGTATGCCAGTGAAAGTGTCCTCTTCAAATCAGTAAAATACATGAGGAAATTTGCCTTTGCTTATCTAGCAGTAAATGTAGGTACCTGTGTGTAGTTGACTATTGTGGGTAGTATTCAAGAAAAAATATGCAAGTGAGTCAGAAACCAGTCATGCTGAAAATCATATCCTGGGTAAAAATGCAGTCTCAGTAAAATCTAGTACTTGTCAGAAATGTTCAAGTGTTGAGTATAAGGTACAGCATATGTACACTGGTGTGTCTACGTAATTATGCTATGTAATTAAAAAAATATCAGCTACTGTACAGCACATCAAATATTAGTTGTACTGTATATCAAATTATATACAATAGTTAACACGTCATTATCTGAAAATCAATGATATATAATCCTGACAAGGTGAAGAATTATACACATGTCCTTGTATTGTGCTGAAGCCAATGGTCAGTAAAACATCTACATAATAAAGACACCCTGTTGTTGCATATGTGTCTAATCTTTCATGTCATTATCTGAACCAAATTCAAACAGACATGCTTAATAAACAAGTTATCATTGTATATTTGGAAAATTAAAACAAAAATATTTTCATGAACAAGTTCAAGTGAAATGTTGAGAATGGCATATGTACCTAATTTATGAAACTAGACAAGGAGGAAAGTTCATTTTTTCCATTTATAACAATACTGCAGCAGTAATAAATGTAATGCAAAAACCTGCTTGGTATAATATAAACACAAGCAGTTTTATATTTTTTTCTTTTTTTTTTTTATAACACTTTGGCCGATTCCCACCAAGGCAGAGTGGCCCGAAAAAGAAAAACTTTCATCATTCACTCCATCACCATCTTGCCAGAGGGGTGCTTTACACTACCGTTATAAAACTGTAACATAACACCCCTCCTTCAGGGTGCAGACACTATACTTTCCATCTCCAGGACTCAAGTCCGGCCTGCCGGTTTCCCTGAATCCCTTTATAAATGTTACTTTGCTCACACTCCAACAGCACGTCAAGTATTAAAAACCATTTGTCTCCATTCACTCCTATCAAATATGCTCACACACGCTTGCTGGAAGTCCAAGAACCTCGCACACAAAACCTCCTTTACCCTCTCCCTCCAACCCTCCACTACAGATTTATACACTTAAAGTCATTCTGTTTTGTTCCATTCTCTCTACATGTCCAAACCACCTCAACAACCCCTCCTCAGCCCTCTGGATAATAGTCTTGGTAATCCCACACCTTCAAGGCTAGCAGCATTGCAGACCTGGAGAGTGTACAAAGAACTTTCACGGCACACATAAGTATGATAAGGCACCTAAACTACTGGGAACGGTTGAAGGTCCTTGATCTGTATTCCCTCGAATGCAGGCGAGAGAGATACATGATAATATGCATGTGGAAGGTCCTGGAGGGATTGGTACCAAACCTGCACACAAAAATCACTCCATATGAAAGCAAAAGATCAGCAGGAGATGCAACATTACCCCAATGAAAAGCAGGGGCGCCACGAGTACACTGAGAGACAACACAATAAGTGTCAGGGGCCCAAGACTGTTCAACCCTCCCAGCATACATAAGGGGGATTACCAACAGACCCCTGGCTGTCTTCAAGAAGGACTGGACAGGCACCTAAAGTCAGTACCTGACCAACCGAGCTGTAGTTCGTATGTCAGCTTGTGTGCGGCCAGCAGTAACAGCCTGGTTGAGCAGACCCTGATCCACCATGAGGCCTGGTCTCAGACAGAGTCGCAGGGGCGTTGACCCTTCTCCTAATTTCCAAACTACGAATTCTCTGCATTATATTCACACACAAATTGCCCTCAGATATGACATCTCCACTTCCTCCAGCCTTCTCCTCGTTGCAACATTCATCATCCATGCTTCACACCCATACAAAGAGTGTTGGTACAACTATTCTCTCATACATTCCCCGCTTTGCTTCCACGGACAAAGTTCTTTGTCTCCACAGACTCCTAAGTGCACCACTCATGCTTTTTCCCCTCAATTCTATGATTCACCTCATCCTTCATAGACCCATCTGCTGACACGTTCACTCCTAAATATCTGAATACATTCACCTCCTCCATACTCTCTCCCTCCAATCTCATATCCAATCTTTTGTCACCTAATCTTTCTGTTATCCTCATAACCTTACTCTTTCCTATATTCACTTATAATTTTCTTCTTTTACATACCCTACCAAATTCATCCACCAACCTCTGCAACTTCTCTTCAGAATCTCCCAAAAGCACAGTGTCATCAGCAAAGAGCAACTGTGACAACTCCCACTTTGTGTTTGATTTTTTATCTTTTAACTCCACACCTCTTGCCAAGACCCTTGCATTCACTTCTCTTACAACCCCATCTATAAATACAGTGGACCCCCGGTTAACGATTTTAATCCGTGCAAGAGGGGTAATTGTTATGCGAAATAATCGTTATGTGAATGAATTTTCCCCATAAGAAATAATGGAAATAAAATTAATCCGTGCAAGACACCCAAAAGTATGAAAAAAAAATTTTTACGACATGAAATATACATTTTCCTACACACAAAAGAAGGATACATGCACAATAGTAGAGTAGTACATGCACAGTATTATTGTGGCATGTACTAGTCTACTAAATGAAGAATAAATGACACTTACCTTTATTGAAGATGCAGCAATGACTGATGAGACACTGTGTCCTGGAGTGCCTTTTCCTCCTGAGTACTGTAGGTCCTGTTTGGCATTTTCTTCCAGAACAGGCCTTATCACACTGTGTATGCCACTACGATTCTTAAATCTCTCAAACCAACCTTTGCTGGCTTTAAATTCACCAATATGAGCACTAGTTCCAGGCGTTTTTTTTTCCCCTGTTCACCTGGGTGTTAGTCGACTGGTGTGGGTTGCATCCTGGGAGACAAGATTAAGGACCCCAATGGAAATAAGTTAGACAGTCTTCGATGACACATGACTTTTTGGGTTATCCTGGGTGGCAAATCCTCTGGGGTTAATTGTTTCTTGGTATTCCTCAATAAGCCACACCAACAACGGTGCTACAGCAGCAGCAGCAGCTGACGGTGGTACAGCAGCAACAGACGATGCTACAGCAGCAGCAGACGATGCTACAGCAGCAACAGACGATGTTACAGCAGCAGCAACGATGCTACAGCAGCAGCAGCAGCAGAACGATGCTAACAGCAGCAGCAGCAGCTGACAGTGCAGCAGCAGCAGCAGCTGTACCACCAATAGTAGCGATGGTTGATTGGGGTTTATTATACAACCTGGCCAGCTCGGAGACACGCACTCCACTTCCATACTTATCAATGATCTTTTTCTTCATCTCTATTGTAATTCTCACCCTTATTGCTGTAGGGTTGGCACTAGAAGCTTTCTTGGGGCCCATGGTCACTTATTTTCCAGAAAAAGCACCGAAAACACTGTAATAATACGAAATATTCCGATTGTATGCTTGGATGTTACCGCGGAGGCTGGCTGGTAAACAATGCCACCGGCGGAACATGTGAGCGTGGCTCAGGCCGCAGATTGGACGCGTCTCGGACGAAAATCGGTAAGCGGGTTTTTAATCGGTATGCGCGGCAAAAATTTTGCGATTAAAGTAAGCGGTATGCGGAATAATCGCTATGTGATGCCATCGTTATGCGGGGGTCCACTGTATACTGAACAACCATGGTGACTTCACACATCCTTGTCTAAGGCTTACTTTTACTGGGAAGTAATCTCCTTCTCTCTTACATACTCTAACCTGAGCCTCACTATACTCGTAAAAACTGCTTTCAGTAATCTACTTCCTATACCGTACACCTGCAACATCTGCCACATTGCCCCCCCCCCCTATGCACCCTGTCATATGCCTTTTCCAAATTCATAAATGCCACAAAAACCTCTTTACCCTTATCTAAATATTGTTCACCTATGTTTCACTGTAAACACTTGGTTTACACACCCCCTACCTTTCCTAAAGCCTCCTTGTTTATCTGCTATCCTACTCTCCGTCTTACTCTTAATTCTTTCAATAATAACTCTACCATACACTTTACCAGGTATACTCAACAAACTTATTCCCCTATAATTTTTGCACTCTCTTTTATCCCCTTTGTCTCTATACGAAGGAACTATGCATGCTCTCTACCAATCCCTAGGTACCTTACCCTTTTCCATACATTTATTAAATAATAGCAATAACCACTCCAAAACTATATCCCCACCTGCTTTTAACATCTCTATCTTTATCAAATCAATCCCAGCTGCCTTACCCCTTTTTATTCTACCCACTGCCTCACGAACTTCCCCCACACTCACAACTGGCTCTTCCTCACTCCTACAAGATGTTATTCCTCCTTGCCCTATACACGAAATCACAGCTTCCCTATCTTCATCAACATTTAACAATTCCTCAAAATATTCCCTCCATCTTCCCGATATCTCTAACTCTCCATTTAATAACCTCTCCTCTCCTATTTTTAACTGTCAAATCCATTTGTTCCCTAGGCTTCCTCAACTTATTAATCTCACTCCAAAACTTTTTCTTATTTTCAACAAAATTTGTTGATAACATCTCATTCACTCTCTCATTTGCTCTCTCTTTACATTGCTTCACCACTCTCTTAACCTCTCTTTTTCTCTCCATATACTCTTCCCTCCTTGCATCACTTCTACTTTGTAAAAACCTCTCATATGCTAACTATTTTCCCCTTACTACTCTCTTTACATCATCATTCCACCAATCGCTCTTCTTCCCTCCTGCACCCACTTTCCTTTAACCACAAACTTCTGCTGAACACTCTAACACTACATTCTTAAACCTACCCCATACATCTTCGACCCCATTGCCTA